CCATTTCATATAATCGGCAGCTCGATAAGAGTTATGCTACTTAATGACGCTTCTGCATCCATTTCAGGGAATCGGCAGATGGATAAGTCTACTATTGCTCAATGTTGGTCATTCATTTTACAGAAATAACAGATATTGGTTTTGGAAAGGCCATTTTGTTGAGATGATACCTTGACCTTCAGTGTTCTGTTATGTAAATTTTCCATTCTCAAACTATTTTCCAGTTTCTAAAATATTTTATTATCGTTTATTATCGTAATTTTCTATTTCCAGTACAGTTCCCTATAAGATGAAAATATTGTATCATTAGAAAAAAATTGTCAAATAAATTATTACATGAATTTGATACAAAAAAAACTTTTATTGTCAGCAGATTTGGAAGGCTTTACAACATTTTGACAACAAAGGACAAACCTCAAACCCAGAAAAACAAAGGATATCAAAACTTACGATGCAACGTCAACAACATCGAGAGCAAGAAAACGAGCAGAACAAAGACGAACGCCAAGCAGCACACAACAAACGACCCGGATGACGTCAGAGCTATGCCTTTAGGAATATTGGTTCGCCTGAAATCTGACAAAAGGATACGCAGTTGCATGCAACTGATAGTCAACCGAAACACACAGAAAGACAAACGCACAGCCAATCAAGCGAAAGGACAAAGCTTTCTTCAAGAAATTTTAACGAAGAGCCAAGAAATTTGATTTAAAATTAAATTTAAAGCTAAAATGTCCTTCGTGATTATTATCCTTTTACATATGTTGCAATCGTTTTTGTTTTTTTTTTGTTTTGTGTTTGGAATAAAATTCACAACTCAAAATACTAAATTGGAAACAAAAAAACAGTGGAAAAGTAAAAAATCCCCACTAACTTATGGCAATTGTTGTAAATTACATTGCAAATGAGCCAAAATCCACTGCCAGACAAAGTTTCCGGATGGCTCGGCCCGTGCACTTTTCAAGTTACAAGGACAAATTCTCGAGTATGCAAATTTCAGCAGAAAATAACCATCCAGCGAAGGTTTCCTTTTCAGGGTTATAAGCGAGTAAAAATAAAAAAAAATTACATATTTGGTCTGATATGCTCGCATATATAAAATTTGCACAACTTCATTTGTCTTTTAGCGAAGCTAGTCGAACTTTGGCGAAGGAAAAAAACTGGATATCAATGCAAGGCAACTCCATGTGGATTTCATGCAAAATACCACAGATTGCAGTCAGCGGTAGGAACATGTTTCAAATTGCAGGAAAATAGACCTGCCACTGAGTCAATAGGGACTTGTACTGGTAGCTTTAAATGGTCATACGTTAGGGGTGAAGTGTAATGACGGGTGTAGAACTCAACCGGTAAGGTATTTTACATTCGATTATTGTTGGGAATTAAAAGCAGTTGTAAATAATTATTTTTTAAATTAACAAAAAATTCTAAAAAATAAAAAATAAATATCGTGATTGTATTTTAAAAAAAAATAACACATCATTACTTAAATGCTTTTCCTTACTCTTAAATCCGACACAAAATTCACTGCCGACTTGTCGTCCAGAAGCCCGTTGCTATCGAGAGTTCACTCATTAAAAGAGGGTTTAGCGGTATTTACTGAGAGGTGAGTAACTGAGTAGTTTTCTCTGAGAAACTAGAAATATCCAAATATTTTAAGCTTCCTGATCACTGCAGCGTGTTAACAATAGACGCCGATGCTCTACTTCGATAGCAGTTGAAACTCTGCGACCACTAACTCTGTGAATCAAACAATAAGCAACATCAGCTGCTTATTGTTTCTTAGTGAGATAGCAAAACAGTATAATATCTGTGTCAATCCACAGTAATATTTTTGGAAAGGATGCTGTTAATTTACTGCCAAAACTTTATAAGAAGACACCAAATCTTCAGGAATATTTTTAACTTTACAAAAGAAACTGAGAAATTCGCCCGATCAGCACTCGTACAAAGGAATAATCTTCAAGAAGAATCTAACCCAACTAAAATTAAATATTTTCCAACCAATAATACAGAAAAAATAGAGTTTCTGTCCGGTGCTAGTAAGACTTTTTTTCCATTGATTTATTTCTCTTCTTAAATAGAATTTAAGAAGAAATTAAGAAGAAATTAGAAATTAATTTTGAAAATAGAAACTAACATGTATGCTATTGAGCTGAGGTATTCATATTCAGAAATGATTTTCTTTTAAGACGATTTAGTGCAGTTGGAGAAGAAAAATATCGAACATGAGGATTTGGATGAGATTTGAGTCTCTCTTGGAATTTAGGTGTATATTGACGAATAACTTCTCGTGTTATAGGAACCGATTATAAAAGTTTAAATATATCGCTTTATATATCTGCTGAACTTGCAAAGACGAAAAGAAGAGGAAAGGAGAATAGCACTATTCTGCCTCTTACAACTTAAAGATTTTATATTAAAAACCCGAATGGAAAATTAAGCAAAATATATTAAAAATTTCATTGAATTTAAAAATAGACAAGAATAATAGAAGTCCTACCAAAACATAGCAATAATGAGATTAAAAAAAGTTCATATAACTGGGCAATAAAAATGTGAGCGATATTTAGAAAATTATTTTAAAATAATCTAATCCTTCCTCTCTCTCATTCTCATATTCCATTGGAGCATAATGCCTCTAACCCTCTGCTAAAGTGTTTCTAAAGTGTTTACAATCTTTACTAATAAATTCAGATGCAAAAAATCAAAAATTAACAAAAAATTTAATATTCGCAATTAAAAATTTAACATCAAAATAAAATTTAAGTTTAATATCAATTTATTTAATATACACAAAAAATTTAAACAAAATTTTTAATTCAAAAAATTTTTAAAAAAAAAGTGCGAACTACCCTCTTACGACAAAATATTATTTGATTTGTCACGAATACTATTCACAATAGATCAGCAATTGTACTTTAACTAATCTATCACATACAAACACCATTTTAAGGTTCATGTAATAAATATCGCTAGTGCAGTTCAGATTAAGAACGTAGATAACTCCTTGACCGTGCAATGCATTATGAATCTAATTGGAAAAACAAAATACATCTGTTCTATGAGCTATACGTAGTAAAACATACAGAGAGCGTAACAAAAATAAAATGCCAAATTTCACTGTATACACAGATTTTCATGGAACCGATTTGTGTCTGATAAGAACATCAGTGCAGCGCGAATAAACAATACAAAAATTTAAATTCAAACCAAAACAGCTGATTCACACATCTACACAAATTTACTTGAAATAACAAGTGCGAGCCTGTGTAGCATTTTCAAATTACGTCAGGGATGTTACACTCTTTTAGATGCTCTCATTTCCTCAAAAATTTGCTAATAGAACGGATTTGTGTATATACAGTGTTACTCAAAGTTACTACGAGTACCTTGTTGAACAAACCTAGTGTAATTAAAATATATTGACAAATATGAATACAAAAATAACTGCATTAATAAAAAAGGAAATAATTTTAATTTCATTACCATTAAACTTTTTTGACTAATTAAACGAAAATGAGTTAATGATTCATTTAAAATTTTTAAAAAAATAAATATATTTCTTCTTCTTCAAACTTTTATTGATTTTGGCGTTCTAATATATTTGTCTGTAATTGAGAGCATTTCATAAATTTTTAAAATAATTTATCTGTTGCTGTCCTTTTAAATTTTTTACTATCATATATAAATACTCTGAGTAATAGTCCTTACTTAAGCCCCAAAACTGATTTAAGTACAAATTAATTCAGTGACTTATAGCCTGCTGAAGTTGATATTGATTTATGGCAATACATAAACGTATAGCGATTATCCAATATTCCTATTCAAACTAACTTTTTATCAATAAAAAATTGTATGAAGTAAAATCAAAATATTTTTATATATTATTAAACATTTCAAGCTTAGTTCCGGTGAATAAAAATAAATATATTTCACTGATGAATTCAAAATGTACGATCATGTGAACTGACCGTGGTTAGTGACCTTTATGTTAGTATCGAGACGTAAGTTGCGACTGTGGAACCAGCCTTGAGTGGTTTTTTTGCGGTAGGGTGGAAAGCATCGAAGGCCACAGTGTAAGACTTGAATCCACTAAAACCACCGCTTAGCAATGAATGAAAAGAGAAATGAGAGTAGAACACTAAATACCTAGCAGGCTAGGAATATCTAAACCAGAAAGTATGGACATGTAGAAGCGAAAGCGTACATGAGCAGGAGGAGATTAAATTGTCTATAACAAACCAGCTTAATACTATGTTCAGACACACTCTAATTTCGCAAAAATATTAGTTTCGTCTTCTTTTCAGTGAAATTAAGTTGTTTTTCCATACGAAATTTAGATTTAACCTTAGAGTGAAATTAAGGAAAATAAACTTAATTTGGTTGAAAAGAAGCTTCAAATTAAAGGACATTTCAAATGTAATTATACGTAAGATAAATTTTAAGCAAAAGACAAAGTTGAGATAACGTAAAAATGACATTTTTTTTAAATAAATTTCAGTGACGGTTAAGTTTAATAAAACCGGGAAAATATTTTGAAAATAGTGCAAATTTTTAAATTTGTATATGGAGTAAAAACTATAACTGTTATTAATTTTAAATAGAGTAACACAACAAAATCCATTTGATTTCCCATATTTTGGCTCAGTATGAACGCTTTTTAAACTAACTTAGTATCATGTTAACGAAATTAAGGAAATTTGGCTGTCAGAACACATTACATCTTTGCAGTTAAGCTGATTGTGCCTACGAAGTGCATTTTACAGTTGAGTATGCCTATAAGAGCATTGGCGATGGCATAGTCAACGTGAGGGGTGAAGTTGGCTTTGGGTGGTAAGAATTCGAATGTAACTACAGAAATATTTTTTCTTTAAGACCATGAAAGTAATTAAAGTAAACATTGTATTTGAAAAATTATTTTAAAATTTTTTTATAAATATTTATAAATTATAATTTTTAAATAAATATTGTATATCGATATTTTTATGTACATATTTGTGTGTTTCGATGACAAACATATGTTAAAATTCTCATTAACAGTTGAACTTTGGAAAAGCAACCCTGCGAAAAGTCTTTGCAAACACTGCTGTTGAGATAAATTAAAATTGTGGAAAATTCATTGTCACTTGTGATTGTATTAAAAACGTCTGAAAGTTGGAAGTGCGCAGTATTTAGCATAGAAATTGATAAAATCGGTAAAAAAAAACAATAATTAGGTGAGTAACGCTAAAGAAAAGTATATAGAAGAAATACTTTTAGTGTTTAAATTAAAATTTTCCAATATGTGCTACCGAAAGTATTAAATTATTCGCAAGCAAGTGTGCAAAACCGCAATGCCTACGCGTTTAATGTGTTAGTAGAGTACCGCTATATACAGCAAACGTGTCGCCTATGCACCGTAATAGTTGGAAAAGAAACGAAAAATATTTGTTGGAAAAAAACTTTAGTTCAGTTGTCAAAAATGTCATACAATTTTTTGTTATAAGTTGCTTTGACAATACCATCACTTCATATAAACGTTTTCGTCGTCTGAGTGGTTAGTTTTTAGAAAATAAATTTTTTCGTCGTGCGAACGTGTGTGATAAATAAAAATAGCATAAGCATAAGTAACTTTTATTTTATATTGAATTGAAAAGAAAAGAAAAGTGGAAAATATATATTTTGGCATTGGTAATTAAAATTTTGTATTAATCAAACAAAACTTGTGATGTGTGATATTAAAAGTTTGTTTCAACAATTTTCAGGTATATAATTTGTATGCAAAATGTTAATAAATCTTAAGGTAAAGACGCTTGATGCACAAACTCACGAATTTAGTGTTGATAATGAGGTAAGTTTAATAAATGTTATGTTATAAAATATTGAAAATATAACCACCACCACCACCACCACCACACCCATATACAGTTAGTCGGCGATTTAAAGATTTTCTGATGAAACTTTCTTTTTCCTTTTTTTTTCTGTTTATTTCATTTATAGATTACTGTGCGGGAATTCAAGGATAAAATCGCTGAAAAAACGAATATTGCCGCGGAACAGCAACGCATCATTTACTGCGGTCGGGTCTTGGCAGATGAGAAGCAATTGAAAACTTATGGTGAGTCACCGAACCAAGTCTAATCGGTTAGTTAGTAAGAAAGGCAAGGGTTGAAAATATTTCGAAAACATTTGTTTAGAATTTTGTTGTTATTTTACAATTAAATTATCATAAAAATTTAAAGAAAATAGTCTCTTTTTTTCTAAGTTCTGTTTTATACAAAACAGAGCAAAACGTTCTGTTATGCGTTCCGATTTTATTGCTATCGTTAATTGTGTATTTGTTGTAATCATTGCCGTTTATAATACCAGGAATTAAGTGTCTGTATAAGATAAAGATTTAATTGGAAAACTATACAATTCTTAGTGGTTACAATAATATGTCGTGTCATACGGTTTCGTCTATCTGCAAATGTTTGTTTTTCTTGTGGTCTCAATTACTTTATAAATAAGCAAAACAATTGTTCCTATAAATATGGTTTTCTTTTGTTTTATTTCATAAACAATGTCCATTTAATACAAACATTAAAAATAATTTCTGGAGAGAATTGTTGACTAATACAAAACAGCTGTAATGACCATGGTATATGTTTTACTTGGGGACAACTATTATATTGTTTTTTAATTAAATAAAGATGAGTTAAAAATATATTTAAGATATCATATTTCGTCAGAACCACATGATATGCAGTTCGAAACAAAAACTGAATTAAACCAATCTTATATACAGAGACTCCACTGACTAGGCTCTCCCTGTGACGACTTACTTGGTTAGCAAAAAAATTTTCAATCCAATTGAGGTTTGGATGAACTCACGTGCTGTTACTTGTTACACATAAACACATCTATCCGGAACATGTATACTAACAACAGCTCTACTACTCATTATGGCGACTACCTGTGATAACCATATCAAACCCTATTGCAGTGGAGCCAACATCAGTGACTTATAGACACTCCACACAGATGCAGTATTCTCTTCAAGACCTAGGTTAACTCTCAACAAGGTTGTCAACAGGCCTCCGTCTGACATCTTCTAGAAAAAACGACATCTTTCGCTTGCAGCAAGAACTCTCCTAACTCAATTAAGATCAGGGTACAGTCATGTGCTAAACAGTTACTTGTCACGCTTAAATATGTCCTAATTCCTAATGTATGCTCAAACTGCAGCTCTACCTACCCACATAACGTGACCTATCTATTATCCCTCTACGCATACAAACCTTAGTTCAATTGATTTTTGGTCTCACCCTCATGATGTGGCTACGTTTCTTCGTCTGGAGTTGGATTGATTATAATTCCAATCCCTCATATTCTTTATTCTCCCTTTGTCCCTATCCTTAAACCAAACATCACTCATCCACATCCCAAACCATGTATTCGTCTTGTAATCCTTACGTAATATTACGTTTCACATATTCTTTATTCTCCCTTTGTCCCTATTCTTGAACCAAACACCACTCATCCACATCCCAAACCATGTATTCGTCTTGTAATCCTTACGTAATATCTGCTTTCAGATTCCGACGGGTTACAACAACAGCAACCACCTGTGATAGCAAAGTTTCTTGTCATCTACTTAGGTTAATTTTAATACTTATCTGTCTTATATTTCTCCAAGCTGGAATTTGGGATATTTTCGTCTTACAATCTGTACATCTTTTGAGTTTAGGGTACTATTGTTGGGTCACAACAAGAGCAAAATAAAATTCTGCTATCAATTTATTACAAATTTTTTCGAGTGTTTCAGCTCCTAAATAAATAAACAATTAAAACAAAAGATTAAATTTAGATATGTTTTGTGTAAATTTACAAGTGAAGTATAAAGTTTTAAACGAAAGATATATTAATCTATTAGAACAATTAGTTTATGCACAACAGTAAAGACTGCAGATGCATTGAAGAATAATCTTCGCTGTTGTTGTTGTAACCCGCGGAGATCTATCAAGCAGATAACAAGAATGATATACAAATAAATTAATCTTCGTAGTTGCATAGAACACTACTGCATAGAACACTACTTCACATGTTATTTACTTTACAGATCAGCAGCAAGAATGACTTTATTTCACATCACCTTTTGTTTATTACTTTATTTACAATTTGTCAATAGCTATCAGAACATCTATAACATCATATATATATAATACTATAGCTTTTAATATTAGTCTTACTTATCAAGAAATGAAAAATGGTAAAATAAATAATTATATTCAGTAAGACGTTAAGTACACTATACAAATTAACCTATTATACCTCTTGAAACCAAACTTTAAAAAAAAATTTAGTTCTATTTATCTACATTTAGTTATATAAACTCCTTTGGTTCGTTTTATCTTACTCAGCGATCAATTGTTTCAATAACTTCCATATGGTGGTTAGAGATTGTCAATTTAACCTAACTACCTACTGCAGATAACAATTATTTATTTTTAAAAAATATCTTATCACTTAACTATATTTTTAAGTTTGAGAACCAAAAATAATTCTTCAATTTTTCTACAGAACTTTCAGATGGTTACAGTTTTCTGTTCTAAATAGAGCATAAGACCCTGTTATTAATGTATATATATATATACATATCACGTAGAAGAATATAGAATAGAATATTCATGTCAAGCAGATGACATGAAAGGAACTACAAACTCGTATACATTACATGGGTTAGGATGTGATTAGGTAAACGTAGTGTGAGAGGGGAGATTGTTAGGAGCAAAAATAGATTGGGGGTGGCATCTTTATTGTAATCATATTCATCATTGCGAGGAGTATATTTTGCGTTGTTATTTTTATTTACTTCATATAAATACTTTATTTTTTTTAATTCACTTATTTAAAATGTACAAAAAGCAAATTCTTTTTCTTTTTGAAGATACAATTGCACTCTGAAGTTAACAGCGGATTTCTTTTCAAAGTCATTTCAACGCTTTTCCGACTTTTCTTTGTAGTTCATTGGTTTTTGTTGTGATTACTTCATATTGCTAACGGTTTTTAGTGACATTACTATATATTTGTCTCAAATATATGTAAAAATCTTTGTTATTGTTGGTGTAACCCGCTGGAACCAGTAAGCAGATAATATAAAAATAAATAATATAATATAAAAATAATATAATATAAAAAGGATATACACAATCATTACATGGATGGGGATTGGGGAAATGGATGGGTAGTGGTTAAGTGTTATTGAGAGGGGAAATGAGAATAATAAAAAATCCTCGTCGCAACCTTCAATTTTATATTATTTTATGACAATTATAGTTATTGTTTATGCTACACTTGATTTAATTGCTACTTCATTGGTTTCAATATTCATCTTATAATATATTAAATTCTTTTAGTAAAAATTTCGATAACTTAGATTTGTTATTGCTTTTAGATGTCCGAAGGTAAGTGGTCCATGTTGCTGAACGTCCTCCGCCCTCTCAACGCGGTCCATCAAACTTCCAGGTCAACAAAATAATGATGTACCTCGTGGAGACACGTACAGCTCTCGGGAATGCGTGGTTCTCCACTATTTCGTGCATTGGATGGTTGGTCGTTAGGCACGATGGCAATCCCTGTAAATTCAAATATTGTAACTCTTAAATATATTTTATTTAATTATTATATATGTATTATATACTAATGAATGTAGCTACATATATGAACCTAAACATTTTAAATTAATTTATTTTTTTTTCTTTTTCTTCATAAACAGAGTAATGGCCAAATGCGTGTCAATCCATTTACATCTTCGTCATCTTTTTGTATGAATCGTATTACTGTTGCTCGTCATATGTTGGATTGTGCTAATAATATCGCAAATTATCTTGAAGATCCACAACGTGTAAATAAATTTTTTTGTCTACTTATAATATATTTTGCAACAAAAGTAAAAATTCCATATATATTTTTAGGGACTAAATAACACTCCTTTGGATATATTGACACGTGGGCGTTGGACAATGGAATCTACTGTTGTTGAAGTTGGTATATCTGCAGCTGATTTACCAACAGATCCAACGCAAAATATTATGGAAATGGTCCATGGTGCTGTTTCGGCTGCCATGCAACGTCAAGGTAAGACAAATATATACAAGTAGAGTAATAATACAATTGTAATAAATATGTAGAACGCAACCCTAACAATGTTGAAAATCCAGCTGAAAACAACCTTACAATTAATACTTTACCTACTACTCGTCTTATTATTGAAGATGCACATAGTGAAGATGATAGCCCAGTTGACGCAGAACCTAACGCAAATGGTAATGCTGCTGAAGGCGCTTCCCCTACAACGCCAACAGAAAATACAGACAATGCAAATACTGCTACTTCCAATGGTGGTTCAAATGACACACCCCGACGTACACGTACACAAGTACTTGCAGAGGTTGTTGAACAAATGCGTCGGGTGCAAGAACGTCTTAATCCATTTATTGCACGTTTTTACACACTCTTACATGAGGATCCAACTTTTGAAGAAAATGTAAGAAATTTCTAAAATATGCTAATTGAATTTTAATAAAAGTATTGTTTTTAATAATAGGACACAACTGGACGTGAAGAAGCGCAACGCTTATATGATCGTGTCTCCGAAGCTTTACATTACATGTCTCATGCTCAACATGCCATTTCTGATTTAATGCTTGACGTTTCGCAAGCTACTCCACGCCATTTAACTTGTCGTCCAATATTAGTCGAACAAAGTGGCTATGTTACTTCAAATAATTATATTATGGCTTCAGCTGCCGCCCAAGCCGCAGCTACGGCTCGTCAACAGAATGCCAACAATACTAGAAATAATAGATATAGACCAGCAAGCACAAGTACTTTAACTACTAATAATGATTCTTCTAGTGCTAATAACACTGAGAATACAGGAATGGGCACAGCTCATGTAGCTATCGTACCAATACCTACTAACGCAGACAACGTTGTAGAGGATCCAGTTGATGAACCAATTATTGAAGTAATGCCACCTACACAAGCATCCAGTGTCAATATTGAAGGGCAAGGAAATGGTAAAATATTTTATTTTGTTTTTGGTTTTGATTTTTTATTTCATTTATGATTGATGCTAATTGTAGGAGGTATAGCGGAAATTACTTTACAGTTAAACGGACGTCCTTCAATTGGTACTTTATGATATATAATTTTTCTTCGGTTAATTTATTAATTAATTTTTCTGTTGATATTCTTTTAATAATTAATTGCAAACTATCTTTGGCCTATTTTAACAATGTTCAGTTAGTCATGGGTTTCGATTTGTAATCATTAATATATTTATTTGTTATTTATATCTAATCAACTCTATAACAAATAATATTCGTTAATTGTAACATGACACTTATTTCTAATATTACTGATTACAAACAACAACTCTATACATTTACAAAATTTCTAAAGCCTTGATTAATAATATAAATCATTTTTATTATTCAATTCTTTTATTAATTTTTATATTCAATTTTTCTATTAACATTAATTAGAGTATTTTATTGCAAAGAGAATTGTAATTCAATTATACTCATCTAAGCTTATTTCTACTACTTTTTACATTCATATAATATTTTTAAGAGAGGTTTCGAAAAGTAGTGAACTACAACAACAAAAAATTTTTTTATATTATTTTAATTAATTGATTTTTTTTAATTAATTGATTAATTAATTTTTGGTTGACCATACATCTGTTTCGAGTATTGCCAAATATCCATCATAATATTGTTAAGTAAAATTGTTCCTTTATTATTTTTATTAACATATTCTCCACTTCTTCTTCCAAAGGCCGTAAATCTTTGGGTTATGAGTTGCAAAAAAAAAAAAAAATTGAATAATAGAATTTCATTTAGGATACTTGTG